ACCTGCCCAGCTCAATTCAAGCAGCGGAGTCCTTAATATTTTCAAGAAACGGCTGAAAACACATCTCTTTCATCTTCATTTGAGCCTCTAGCTCTAGCTCTCGCTATTCTAATGCTACTTCTAATTTTATCTCCTTGTTTTTTATTATTAAAAAAAACTTGACCCTCTAACATTTGCACTCTCTATTCTATTTCTATTTCTATTCTAACTACTTGTTTTATTTATAAAGAAAGAAGAGCTTCTAACACTAGCATTCTCTATTCTTTCTACTTATTTTCTGTTTATTTATTATAAATAATGACCTTCTAACACTTGCATTTTCTATTCTTTTTCTGTTCTATTGACTTGTTTTATTTTTATTTAAAAATGACCCTCTAACACTAGCATTCCCTATTCTTTTTCTATTCTTTCTACTTATTTTCTTTTTATTTATTATAAAAACAAAATAATCAAACAAACAAACAAAAACCTTGCTACTGTTAGGCAAAGCCCCGCCCCCTACTGTCATCTATTTGAAAAACTAAAATATGGTCACCCTAATATATAGCATTTTTTTTAATTTTCAGAATGAGTTTCCTTTTTTTATGTTTAATTTATAATAATAATAATATTACGTTTAATTTATATAGGACCTTTCCCAAGCTCAAGGACACTGCACAATGACAGAAGCAAATACATTCCTACATACATGTACAAGACATTTTCCAAGTCCAGAACATGTGGTTGCAGTTGCATATCACAGTAATAATACAGTATCATAAAAAATAAAAAAAACATTATAACAGGTAATATTGGTGGAACATATAGGTTTTGAGCTTAGACTTAAATTCGTGGAGTTAACTGTTTAAGTATGTCATCAGGAGCGCTGCAATGCCTAAGGTCTCTCTGTCTGTGTTCATGCAGTGAAATGGCAGAAGCCAGTATCTCCTGGGCTGAGGATCAGTTCATGTGTCCAGTGTGTCTGGATCTACTGAAGGATCCAGTGACGATTCCCTGTGGACACAGTTACTGTAAGGGATGCATCTCTGGTTGCTGGGACGAGGAGGATAGGAAGGGAATCTACAGCTGTCCTCAGTGCAGACAGACCTTCACACCAAGACCTGTTTTAGGTAAGAATGTGGTGTTTGCTGAAATGGTGGAGAAACTGAAGAAAACGAGACTGCAAGCTGCTCCTCCTGGTCCTACTCTTCACCATCACACTGGATCTGTAGATGTAAAGTGTGATTCCTGCACTTTAATTGAACGGAAAGCAGTGAAATCGTGTCTGGAGTGTCGAAGCTCTTACTGTCAAAATCACCTCAAACAGCATGAGAATCTCTTCAGAGGTAAAGCACACAATCTTATGGATGCCACTGGACGACTGCAGGAGATGATGTGCCCTCAACATGATAAAATGCTGGAAGTTTACTGCTGTACCGATCACCGGTGTATCTGTGTGCTGTGTTTGGTGGATGAACACAAAAATCATGACACTGTATCAACTGTAGCAGCGAGGACAGAGAAACAGGTAAAGTACTGGAACTAATGAGAGATAGTTAATGTTGTTTCTCTCTTCGGTTGTTATGTGACTTTTCTCTCAATCAGAGAAACTGATGTCTTTAATTGCGTTTTGACATAATACTGTTATTTTTAAATGGTAATAATGTTATACTGTTTTTAAAGAGCTTAAAGGGGTGTTTTTTTTCTAGGCTTGATTGTGTTTATGGGGTGCAGTCTAACACGTGTTAATGCTTTGTTTTTAAAAAACGCATTATTTTTCACATAATTTACCTTTATTCCAGACCGCTCTGTCCCTTCTCTGAGAAACACGCTGATCATTTCCTTCTTTTATGAAGCCCCGCCCTCAGAAATAGGCGATGGGCTCTGATTGGTTAGCTAGCCCAGTGTGTTGTGATTGGCTAAACCACCTCTAGTGCGAGAGCGTGTGCAGAGCAGGGGGACGAGAGGAACAGGATTGAGAACCTCTGCTTTAGAACATTGATTTTGAATCTTGTGAATCCATTAGAATCATTAGAAGACAGAATCGTGATTCATATACTAACAGATTTTTACATGCACCTCTAGTTTACTTTTCCTCTTCTCTAAAGCAGCGCAGAATGGCCCCGCCCCCTTTGTTGCATGTTTCCGAGGGCGGGGTTTATCTGGGTTTGTGATGTCACGAACCCGGGAAGTAGCTCGTTGTAGTTCCTACCAGCCGTTTTTGTAGGCATTAAACTGACAGAATTTTAAAAGACGATATCTCTGTTTGCATTGAACTTTCAGCTTCGTAACTTAAAAAAACCTTACTGACCCCACACTTTTGAATGGTAGTGTTGATTTATTTATTATTTTTATTGTTGATTTAATCAGTTGTTGTTCCCTGCAGAGACATTTGGAGGGGAAACAGAGACAATTCCAGAAAATAATCCAGCAGAGAGAGAAAGATCTTCAGGAGCTGAGAGAGGCTGTGGCGTCTCATAAGGTGAGTTTGGAGAAGAAGAGAAGTTTGAGTCTCAGTTTGAACCCTCTTCCAGTGCTGGAGCTCTTATAGTCCCACTGAAGCCACTGTGTGATTGATTGTAATGTGTGTCCTATTACAGCGTTTTGCACAGACAGCAGTGGAGGACAGTGAGAGGATCTTCACTGAGATCATCCGGTCCATTGAGAAACGTCGCTCTGAGGTGAAGCAGCTGATCAGAGATCAGGAAAGAGCTGCAGTGAGTCGAGCTGAAGCACGAGTAGAGGAACTGGAGCAGGAGATCAATGATCTGAAGAGGAGAGACACTGAGCTGAAGCAGTTTTCAGAAGCACAGGATCATGTTCTTTTCCTTCAGGTAACAGAGGTCTTTTCAAATGCAGGACGGGGAAGAGAGCAAGCTTTTGTAATAACAGAGAGTTTGTGTCTGTAGAGTTGGCCTCCTGTCTCTTTCTCTGAATCTACAGACGGCTTCACTGTCAGTTCTCATCTCTCTTTTAACAACGTAGTTGAGTCTGTCTCTCGACTCCGAGACAAATTGCTGCAGTTCTGCACAGAGACTATAGAAAACATATCTGGAACAGGTAAACATTGATTTACTCTCAGAAATGAGTTCAGCACCATTTGTTAAATATATAAACAGCTGAATGTTTAATTTCTCTTGACATGAGAATTAAAATGCATGTGTTTTGATGTCCGTAGTGAAAACCGTCCGGGTCATTGGCGCTCCTGAATATCAGACCAGAGAAGAGTTTCTCCAATGTGAGTTCTAAAATTCAGTCTAGCGGGAGAGTTTTACACTAAATTTACATTGTTTTACACTAAATTAATGGAATGATTTTTAGATTTTTTACTGTGTGTTTAAAATACATGGGCCGCAACAAATAAATGAGACAATCAATAATGAAAATAATCATAAATGTAATGATTACTGTAATTAGTTACACCTGTGCACAACAGTAAAAATCTACTTCAAATGCTTTGAGGTTTCATTGATGATTTCACCATTTAGAGAGACAGACATTTAGACCCTGTTAAAATGTTAATTTAATCATGGAAGGTCATGAATAATTACGCATTTTTCTCCATCAGATTCTGGTCTGCTGACTGTGGATCCAAACTCAGTGTTTAACTGGCTCCATCTGTCTGAAGGAAACACGGTGATGACTGTCACTGACACACATCAGCGGTATCCTGATCATCCAGACAGATTTGATACTTGGGCCGAGGCATTGTGTAGAGAGAGTGTGACTGGACGCTGTTACTGGGAGGTGGAGTGGAGCGGTGATGGGACGTCAGGAGTGGATATAGCAGTGACATATAAGAGCATCAAGAGGAAGGGAGGTGGATCTGAATGTGCAGCTGGACGTAATGACAAATCCTGGAATTTGTACTGCACTCCCACTTTCTGCTCATTCTGGCACAACAACACCGAGACTGTCCTTCCTGTAACCCGTGTGTCCAGTAGAATAGGAGTGTTTGTGGATCACAGCGCAGGGATTCTGTCCTTCTACAGCGTCTCTGACACAATGAGCCTCATCCACAGAGTCCAGACCACATTCACTCAGCCGCTCTATGCTGTGTTTGGATTTGATATACAGACAGCGGTGAAACTGTGCCGTCTGACCAATTAAATCATATAGAGACTCGACTCGTAGTCTTTTTGATTAAATTTAGCTCTAGTTTGATTCTCAGAAGTAACTTTCAAATCTTCCAGTAAAATACTTTTAATATATTTGTTTCAGATTGTTGGATTCATTTACTTTACATGGATTAGGTCACATGTAGTTTATGTTAAATAGACTACCACACATAACACTTAAGTACATTCCCAGCTAGTACAACTAATTAATTACCCAATGTGGTGATTGATTAATCTGATTAATCACAAATTAATGACATATCAACTTTATCAATATTGTGTTCAAATAGACACAAACTGTTTTGTGCAGGGGGCCAGTCTATGGCGGCTTTGATGTTGATGAAATTTCATTTTGTGGTCTTGTTGAAGACCTTTTATTTTGTGATTGTAGTAAACCAATACATTTTGGGTTGATTTAAGTTTATATATTTTTAACCCTACTAATATGACCCACAGTTTTAGCCTTAAAGATGCTATTTTTTATTACGAAAACCCAAAATCATTATCTCTTGAATATGTTGTTAATTTCTTTATTTTATGTGCAAAATGTTTCATCCCCAAGCAAAACTGGCTTAAATCTCCTTTGTTTTCCTCTTTTTCTTGTTGAATTTAACTCTCTTGTTTCGTCCCTCAGGCATATAAATAACAAAAACAACAACAAAAAATTGTATTTTTGATGCATTATGATTATATGACTAGTATGATTATTCAATGATATTTAACCTTGTCGTTGTGCTTTTTTTCTGTGTATATAATCTCATACTATGATGTACGCATTATATTTGTTTTCTGTTTGTTTTTTTTGTCATTATGATTGTTCATTTAAAGATACAACCATCTTTCCCTGATCTTTTATGATTATATTATATGATTATATGATTATAAGTTGTGCAATAAAAAAATAAAAAATAAAAAAAAGAGATAAGAGCTACAGGTGCATTAACACCTCACAGCATCAGAAACTCGACAACCCTACCTAGTACAGTTTTCCACAGTGTTTGCAATGTTTGTAATGTCTGCACAAAGGAGACGTCGGGCAGCTGTTGGAAGATCTTGCCTTTGGAGAAGACTGTTGATTTTACACTCAAAAAACGAACGTATTACTGCTTAAAAAAGAAGATTACCCCAGAATGCATTACTAGCTCACCCCAACTGTCAAGCCCATGGACTGTGTGTTTGTTTTCCTCCCCCACGTGCTCTGTTTCCCATGTGTCCTAGCTCTTCCCTCATGTCTGGGTGTGAAATTGATTCCAGGTGTTTCTAGTTAATTTCCTTGTTTGGTTCCCCATTTAAGCCCTGTGTTTTCCTGAGTCTTGCGTGCTGTCTGAACCGTTACTACATGCGTGTTCCTGGGTTCTATTGTTAATAAAGACTTCTCATGGTGAATTCTCCTACGTCTTCTTCGCTCCGACACAGTAGGCAACATCATGACAGAAGACCAAAACAGTAAGCACCGCCCCTTCTCCCCGTGTTTTTGTTTCCTTCTTTGAAAGTGCTTTGTTTTCCGTCCCGAGGGAAGGGATCCTCCGGTGTCTGGAGAGTGTCCAGCCCCGATCCAGAACCAGCCCGCCATCAAATCTGCCGGCCGCTCCACAGTCAAGCCTGCCGGCCGCTTCATTTACTCCTAACCAAAGGAGGAGGATGAGGAGAAAAGGACTGTTCTCCACTCTCATCCGCACCCTTGAGCCCGCTCCAGTGTCGGCTCCAGCCCCTGAGTCCGCTCCAGAAAGGGCTCCAGTTCCCACGTCCAGCCCAAGGAAGGCTCCATTCCCCACGTCCACCCCAGTGAGGCCCGTTGTTTTCACACCCTGCCCCTGGAGGGCCTCAAAAGCCAATATTCTCCCAAAGTATTTTTTTGGGGGGGTTATAGGGCTCCGGCCATAGAGGCCGATAAGCAACATTACACAACCAAGATGTTTTCCCGAATATCAGCACGATTTACACTGATTTCTTCAAGAAGTTTTTCTTCAATTTCTCTGACAAAAATAGCTTCAATCAAAGCCACAGCAGAACTTTTGTGTGTCTGTGAGCAACACAGCAGTACTGAATGAATGCAGTGATTCCGTAATCCATTCACTTGCCTCGTTTCTGAATGAATCATCCATTTGAACGAATCGGTTAAATGAACGACTAAATGACTCCCTCATTCATTTGCCGGCACTTACTGGTGGGTTGGTTTCGTATTTAAAAGTATCATTGCATTTTTTCCCCAACATTTCTTATTTGTATGTTCAAAAAAATATTTAAAACATTAATCTTATAACGTTATTTAAACATTTGCTGTGTAAATGCATTTATGGCACCTCAGCTTCATCAAACAGTCTGTGTAAATACATCTAATGCCACTTCAGATGCAGCTTCTGTGTTTCCTGCAGTTTGTTGATACTGATTTCATTTGAATGGTAACAACTCTACAGTTTCGTATTATTCTAACTGAATTAATTGAAATAACGTAAAAATGTGATATGAAAGATGACACATACATTTAATAAGGTTAGGGAAAAATGCCCATTTATAAACATAGTGGGAAATGACTTCTGTTTTTTTACATACAGCAACTAATTTCTACCTCTTTCCAGTCACAGAGCACTTTACTTTGAGAGTCGTTTAAGTGAGAGAACATCTGTAACTTAGATTTTTAGATTTGTATATGTTGTCAATTATAGTTCTTAGAAAGAAAATCAGAATCGGCAAAATTCAGTATTATCAGGTCACACTTAAAAAACATCGGAAATCAGGATCGGCCAAGAAAATTGCAATCAGTGCATCTCTAATAGGAACTCTGCTTTACTGTTAATTTTCAATTGAATGTGTCCAAGCCAAATAAAATAATTATTACTTACCACAAACGTTCGAATGGCAATGTACCATGGTTTACACAAAACATGAAGCAGCACAACCATTTTCATCTTTGATAATAAACAGAAATGCTTCTTGAGCAGCAAATCAGCATATTAGAATGATTTCTGAAGATCATGTGACACTGAAAATTCAGCTTTGCATCGCAGAAGTAAATGATATCTTCAAATAGAAAACGGTTCTTATAAATAAATTCATAATATTACTGTTACACTGCATTTTCAATCAAATAAATTCATCTTTGATAAACATAAGAGGCTTCTTTCAAGAACATTACAAAATCTGGTAACACTTTATTTCGATAGTCCACTTTAGACATTCTGTTAACAGTAAGTAACTTTGCAACTACATGTCAACTAGCAGTTAGTAGAGTATTAGTAGACTGTCTGCTTAATATCTTCTAACGCTTTCTTTGTCAACTTATTCTACTAACCCTAAACCTACCCTAACAGTCTACTCTGAGTAAGTAGACATGTACAGTAGATGCAAATTAATGAGAATTAGTTGACATGTAGTTGACATGTAGTTGCAAAGTTACTTATAGTTAGAAGAATGTCTAAAGTGGACTATCGAAATAAAGTGTAACCAAAAATCTTGATTATTCCAAACATCTAACCGGTAGTGTAATGAACACAGGTCAATTTAATGCTAAAATATTACTTCAAAATGTACCTGTTGAAGGTGAACAGATTATCCATCAGTGGTGGGCAAATTATGAAGAAAACTGTCGCTTGGCAGCTGAACTTGTGCGGGAGGGGAGGCTAGAGAGCGATCCGAAAATCAAACATCGGAGCACTCTTGATAGGTGAGTTCAATAATGTTGTACAAATACAAGGAATATAATTAATGACATTGTCATTACAGCATTAAGCTATTGTTATAATTTCTGCGTGCGCAAGGGTCCGCTAGGGTCCACGTAACACAAAAATCTTCATCGGAGGGTGTACATGGAGGCTCTTTGCGGACATCCACATGCCTCCCATTTTTTGTGAGCGCATGGACAAGTATGTGCAGTCACTATGCTACAAAAGCACCAACTGTGCACGCGCTGGAAAAACAACATGGACGTCGAATTTGAAGAGAGGCTGTGCGAAGAAGTCCGTCGCTACCCGCACCTCTACAATCCGTCGATAAAACAATATAAAGACAGCTAGATGTGCAATAATTCATGGAGGGAAATTGCTTTTCCTCCTGCATGGACGTCGCCATGTTTGTTTACTGTTCAAGCCGTGTGGAAAAAGTCCTCAGAGCGGACCCCAGCACACACTTTCAGTAGTATAAATACAAGTAGTCCACAGCTGTCCGTGTACGCATCCGAACTGAGTATAACCAAGGCCTTAGTCAAGTACAACTGCAATAATTTACAACAGGATTCAAATTGGTCAAGCATAATCAAACATGGCATCAGCCGTTATCAATAACTTGTTAAGAACTTAAATGAGATTTAAAATCAGTTAAACCCTTTAGAAATCCAGTTGCCCAACCAAAACGCACCCGAAACAATGGTATACTCGCTAGCTAACAAACAGGTCATAGATCAACCTACACAACTCAATTTGGAAGTTATAATAAAACCGATCGCAGGCACCACACACTTAGTTTTCCCTCGCAACTTGCCACAGCAAGTCTTCTTCACAGCACATGGTTGGGTTGAATCACGCGGGAAGAGCTTTTGACGTTCTAAATTGTTTACATTTCAAATACATAGGCTAGGTGTCGTTCTAACAGCTGGCAGGGACGTCTCGGCGACATACTGCAGATGAGCAAACGCCCTAAAATATACATCTTCCAGCAGAAAAAGACGACATCACACAGAGATCCACGCGACTTGTATGTGCTATCTGGGTATCCACCCAGCGCAGGACTGCTTAAAGTAATTTACGTTAGATTGATAAAGAAACATGCATGAATGAGAACATCAAAAAAGGGAAATGCTTGATGGTAAAAAGAGTTATTAAACGCAGTTAGCCATGAAAAAGCACAAGCACACATGCATGCGCATATAAAGCCGTCTGTCATGTCCAGTGTTGGGGTAATATATTACAAGTAACGCGAGTTACGTAATCAGATTACTTTTTTCAAGTAACTAGTAAAGTAACGCATTACTTTTTAATTTACAAGAGAATATCTGAGTTACTTTTTCAGATAAGTAACGCAAGCTACTTTTTTATTTTCAATGTATTGATTGACAGCTCTGCTGTCCCCATGTTGAGAGAAATCAGATGTTACTGTAGTTCTAAAATAAATATGAATATGCATTAATTCATCTCACTCACACAAAAACACACAGATTCAGTATTCCTCAAAATGAATAAAAATAATGCAACTCAGAATATGACACAAACCTGCAATAATTAAATGTTAAACAACACAAATATGCTTTATGTATTTAATCCCATTCTATATTTGCTTCTGAGCTTCGATGATTCAGTTCAAGCGTACTAATCAGCACAAATTACTCGAGACAAACATTTGTTTATGGCTGAAGTGTGTTGAAACTTCTTCTTCTGCATTCTACTGTACTTTCCCTTCAGCCTGAGGCTTATTCATTTCAATTTTGGTGTGAAAAGTCTTTTATATTTGCCAAAAATATAACTTTTTTATATTAAAAACAAACAAGCAAGCCCTGTCCAGATTTAAAAAGTAACGCAAAAGTAACGTAGCACATTACTTTCCATAAAAAGTAACTAAGTAACGTAATTAGTTACTTTTTTTATGGAGTAACGCAATATTGTAATGCATTACTTTTAAAAGCAACTTTCCCCAACACTGGTCATGTCAGGGTGCTATTGCAGTCTTATTTCACTAAAATGGTCATAATACACACAAAATTGTCAAGCACGCCCATCACAGAGAGTATTCACGTAAAACATATTCAGTTATGTCTTTAATGCTTGTAAACAGTTGGGAGAAAATCAGATGTAAGTAAGATATAATAAACCTGCTGCTGTCTGTGTCCTCAATGTTAATCAAACAAGCAAAGAAAAAGAGAAAATCACACTGCTTTTGACAATAACTTCTGTAGCTTTAAAGGCACAGTATGCAAGTTTTTGTGGCTAGAGGGCGCATATTTTATTATGCCACAGTCGACCGCTCCTGCTTCTTCCGGTCGTGCGTGTGTGGGGTAAAGCAGCGCTGTTTTATACTAATTGAAAGTTCTGTTATAATGCTACTCTGCGCGTTCGTCACCTGTCTAATAAAATGCATAGCATATTAAAGCGTCTTTGGGGTTTCCATGTTTTCAACAAAATAAAACCGGAAAAATCGAGGGGTTATGATGTCATTGGCACGCGACACAATGGACACGGTCCGTTAAAACTGCTTATTTCTCTGGATTTAAACATTCTTCAAAACATTTGGGATAATGTAAGTACACAAGCAAATAAAAAAAATCTTACATATTGTGCCTTTAATCAAAATGTGTATAATTAATCATACAATGAAGACAAACCAAAGACATGTTTTTTGGTAACACTTTAGAACAACTTTCATTAATAAATCATTAACATGATTTACCGATCATTAGTTAATATATATTCAAATAGCTAAAAATGTGAGATAATGTGCTTGTTAATGTTTATTGATAAACATATTACCTAATGATTAACAGATCATCATTTCATGAAATAAAATGCTTACAAATGCCATTAAACTTCCAATTCATGTGACCATGAACTTCTTGGAAATTTACAAATAGATTATATAGTGATGAAAAGCTTTTGATACAGTGTGATCCGGGTAAGATTGTACAGGGGAAAAAAAACACAATGTAACAATTTGGGTGCCCATCAAGCTGTTTTATACTGCAAGAGAGACAGTTAAAATAAGGGTTGTTTTTGCTTTAATCTTTTTATATATATATATATATATATATGTGGTGCACTCAGTATTTCACTGGCTCTTACTCAACCAAGCAGAGGTCGGTATTTGATACATTAGTAATTATGTATACTGCAACTATGACAAGTATACTATATATTCCAATTTCACAGGCGTTTTTAAGCACTCACATTAGGGTTTTATTGCAGCTTAATGTTGCTATATACTGCATATAGCATTACATTCTTCAAAGAATAAAGACAGAAACAAGTAAGATCAAAAGGGTGTTTAATTTTTTTTTTGCAAAAAGAAATCAAAAACAAAGAGAAACAAGTAAAACAGTTTTTGTGGATTGATTTTTACAAAACAATAAGCATTTCACAAATCTATCACACACACTAAACGCCGAATTCAACAAGTCAGGAAATTAAAAAGTAACAAAAATAACATCTGGCCCCTCCCCCCAGAGCAAAATAACCCTTTAAAGCTGATCTGTGGCCAGCTCTGCCGTTTCCTTACAGGACTGAAGTTGTACAAAGTGGCAGAGACCAAATTCATCCCGTTCCCTTCACTCAGCCCCTCACAGTAGATTCAACATTTATGGGGAAAACTGCTCATTTCAGACAGTATATGCAGGACACTCATGCAACAGAAAGGATTGCAGACACAAACCTCTCCCTGAACCCTACCCTCTCATCCCCAGCCCACAACAAACAGGTCTGGAATGGCATCCACGTGAAGGCTTCAGTACGGCCGGCCTCGTCTCTCCTCTCTGTGGTCTCCCCTTTGGGGTGGGATGGAGACAAGCATTACTCAAACATCAAAGAAAACGCGTGGCAGTTCGGATGACTGTAGAACAGAGGTGTTTCTTTACCTTCCACCCATCTTGTATCCTCCACGGTCTCCACCCCGGAAGCCTCCTCTGCCGCCTCTGAAGCCGCCGCGGTCCCCGCGGTCTCCTCCGTACCCGCCTCGACCGCCACGATCTACAACAGTCAGGTGGAAAACACGGTGTTGTGGACAACTTCTGCTTGACATGAAACTGCAGTTTGCCCCTGCTCTGCCGAAATATCTTGTGAATGCTATGGAAGCTCGTTTCCACCACAGGATAAGAAAAATTATAAGGAATGGAGACTCACAATTCTTTTTTTTGGCAATTGAGGAAAACAGGCTAAATTGCGAGATATTGCAATTGCTTTTTTTTTTTTCTCCCCGTGGCAGAAAAAATAAATACATTTTGAAAAATGGATTTCTGAAATGTAAAACCAATTCAGAGCTTGAAATTGAGATGTAAACTCAGAACTGCAAAAAGTTAACATCTCACAATTCTGACTTTCAATTCTGTCTATTTTTCTTGCAGAAAAGAATTCAAAAATGGAATTCCGAGCTCGAATTTACATTGCGCAATTCTGACTTTTTCCCCTTGCAAATGAGTCTGTATTTCACAACAACATAAGATCAGAATTGTGAAAGTTTTGACTTTTCTTATTCTCCGAGTTAGCATCTCGCAAATCTGAGAAAAAAAAATCAGTTGTTAGAAAAAAAGAAATCTCAAATAACTGCAAGATGTAAACGAACTCTGAATGGCAAGAAAAACGGCAAATCTGATTTTCATCTTGCAATTCTCTGAAAAATATGATTTGCGAGAAAAATCAGAATTGCAAGATGGATTCTGAGATTCTGAGTTTATCCGCTATTTGGACTTTTTCCCTTCACAGTTGACACACACACACACACACACACACATATATATACAGTGGGTACGGAAAGTATTCAGACCCCCTTACATTTTTCACTGTTATATTGCAGCCATTTGCTCTGACATGCACTGTGAGCTGTAAGGTCTTATATAGACAGGTGTGTGGCTTTCCTAATCAAGTCCAATCAGTATAATCAAACACAGCTGGACTCAAATGAAGGTGTAGAACCATCTCAAGGATGATCAGAAGAAATGGACAGCACCAGAGTTAAATATATGAGTGTCACAGCAAAGGGTCTGAATACTTAGGACCATGTGATATTTCAGTTTTTCTTTTTTAATAAATCTGCAAAAATGTCAACAATTCTGTGTTTTTCTGTCAATATGGGGTGCTGTGTGTACATTAATGAGGAAAAAAAATTAACTTAAATGATTTTAGCAAATGGCTGCAATATAACAAAGAGTGAAAATTTTAAGGGGGTCTGAATACTTTCCGTACCCACTGTATATATATATCAGAATTCTGACTTATTTTTTGCAATTCTGAGTTCAGATCTTCCAAGTCTAAAAAAATCATAATTGCAAAAAAAATAAAATAAATAAAAATAAAAAAAAAACAATTCTGCTTTTAAAATCTCAATTGTGGAAAAAAATTAATAAATCATAATTGCAGTTGAGTTTATATCTTGCAATTGTGTAAAATCTTAATTGTGAGAAACTCAGAATTTCAAGAAAGTCAGAATTGTATCTTGCAATTCTGAGTTTATTGCAGTACGGAGTTTATATTTCACAATTTTCACTGATTTTTTCCCCACAGAATTGCAAGAAACTGAACAGAGAGAGAAGAAAAAAAAAAAAAGTTTTATCCCATGGCAGAAATAAGTTTCCATAAACTGCTCCCTCTATTGGTCAAACGTTTCAGCTCATGTTCGAGCATCATACTTACCATCTCCATGACTATCGCCTTCTGGTTTTGATGTTCCACACCTGTTGCACTCGTATCTTCTGGCAAAGTTCATGTTGCCACAAGAGCTGCAAGAGATGGTTCATCAATAAATACAACACGACAACAGATCGCTCTCAAACAGATTCACAAATAGCTACACGCGCCGAACCTGTTGGGACAAGGCCAGTCTCCACCCTTGACGTCAAACGAGGGACCTCCACCAAAGCCACCTCTGCCTCGAAAACCTGCGAGCAAAGACAACAACTGATTACAGAAAGACCAAACAGGTTTTGTTTTATACAAGCAAAGAAGAGTCAGATTTCCAAAACATACCGCCACCACCACCACCACCACGTCCTCGTCCCCCTCCCCCTCCTCCTCCTCCTCCTCTCTGGGTGAACTCGGCTCTTCTGGTAGCAAACGACACCTTGAGGGGTTTTCCTTTAAATTCTTTCCCTGTATTCCAGCAAAACAAGAGACCCAAAATCAGCCCTATTTTTTTATAACGCTTTTCAAGCCAGAGACTGCAAGAAAGCTTCTCTTACCATCAAACCAGTCAATGGCAGCTTTGGCTGAGGGAGGATCATCAAACGACACTGTGGCTTCACCCTTCAGTCGTCCGGTGGCTTTATCAGAGTACAGATTGATCATAGGTTTGCCAGTCTTCTTATTGACCTGTCATTAGAGCAGATCTGCTGTAAAGCAGGATTCTTCAGGTCTCTGAAGTTCATGACCTTCAGGTGAGTAAACTTGCCTTAATGATTCCAATTTGTTTGAAGTAGTCGCCCACTTCCTCAGGGGAGACGTCTTCACTGAGCCCTTGGACAAAGATGGTATTATTGTCCGAGTTATCCTGATCGCCATCTGTAATTGGGAGGAGAATCTCATATTGGAGTCAAGACACTATTACAATATTTACACTGCATGCTAACTTCCAATACCTCAATATTTTGGGCCCTATGATTTACGAGATGCAGAAAAACATGGACAGAATCTAGTTATAAAAACAGAATTTACTGTATAGCGTGGAATGCCACGGAATGTCAAATTTTGGGTGAACAAATCAAAAGTAGATCAGTTCACTTTAAGTCAAATCACAATATGGACTAGTTTCTGTGAACATTAAACCAAAAAAAAGACTATTTAAACGACTCCTGCATGTTCTGCGTGTCTGTGTGAATGGTGCAGACGCAAGATTTATTTGACTCCACACACAGTGAAGCGCAGGCGGTGATTTCAGCCTCTGCCATCTCACTACGAGAGGACAAACACTAATAACCACTCCAGAGCTGCTCTGAGTCACTTCATACACTTCACTTTGATCGTTTCATATCAGAAAAACTATCATACACAAACTTTACAGCAACACTTCAAAATAAAATGGTGACAGACGTTCTCTTGTGCAGTAGTAAAATACTAACTTAACGTAATAAACTTAATAACGTCTTAACGTAATAAATGTATATATTAAATTCTTCCATGTTTTAAATTTAACCGTAAACCTCTGTTGTGCAGCACTGTTTGTCAAATTAAAGGGTTTAATATTCTTTTGATTAAAATAAATTAAATGAATGTTTTAGGTCTACACTTGATTACTGAAATTTACACAATTTAAAGAAAGAAAAAAAAAAACCCAACTTATTGATACCTATTATAGTATAAAAATTAATAAATTGGGATATTTTCATGAATTCAATTAACTTGATTTTTGATTATTAAAACTTACTCTAAAATGGAATCCAGAAAAATGTAAAAGGCAAACAAAGGATTTGGTAAATAAATGTATGCATATGAATTTCATAGGGCCCTTTAAAATGTCAAACTCTTAACAAATTTAAATTGTACGAGTTTCAGGATTAATTTAATTTTAAATTAATCCTGAAACTCGTACAATTTAAATTTGTACAATTGTCCAGAAAATTGTTTATAAAAAATAAAAAAAAACTGAATTTGGCATAAAAAAAATATTGCTAATTCAATTTCTCTCTACAGTGTTCCCATTTCTGAATTTAGGGTGAAATGCTTTCATAAGTCAGCCGTTAGCGCTCACCTCCATCATCCTTTTGACCGTACTCTCTGGGTCCTGAAAAACAAGACACGAAAGGGAAACACAACCTTGAGAACTTGAGAAATAACAATATGAAGTCATGAACCTTTATTTCACTACAAAGTCTATGAATAAAAAAAAATAAAAAATCATGAATAAAACCAAACTGCTCTGCTATGTAGATTTGACCTTTACAAGTGACAGTTTAATCTATGCACCAGTGTGTCCAAAACTGCTGCGCCATTTCCAACACCTTTGTACACCACAAGAAATTTTCTGTGAGACTAGCTAAATTAAATGAGAAGTATTCATTTAAATCACGTCTCTTCTTCACCATATGCACAGTTGGCATCCAGAACACTGGCATTTAATTCTATTTACTCATGCAAGAAGACCATTTTATAGAGTAAAAACTGGGTAGTTGTTAGACTTTCTCTCAACAAGAGCATTACCAGAGACGACAGCAATAAAGACAATAAGGTGATGTTCCCTTGGGTTGAAATAAAATGGTGGCTCAAGAGCTCATTTGTCAGCTAATCTTTCTGTATCTTTTTTATATCCTTTCCCCCACCGAGACAGATGCTCATCACTTACCACCGTAATTTTTGTAGCCACCACGGTCACCACCACTGCAGAGGAAAAATTGAAGATATGATTGCTTTCCATTGTTGAAACCTGGGAGCTCAAGGCTCCCGCTTTACCAGTATTCCTTTCAGGGTCTACTATTGAGGAAACGGCTCCCATTGACAGATGGGTTAAATATGATGAGCCAAATGTACATGAAACATTGCAAATTGAAACCAAAGGCGGCGAGCCTCTTTCCAAATTAGAACGGCTTTTTTTGGTTGAACGTCAAGATTTGATGCGCTCTGAATTGAGACTAAAACCAGAGCAGAGCACGGAGGACAACCTCCCTGCTCCCTCTTTAGTTCTTCAAGAATTTACTCTAGATTTGAGCGTCTAACTGTTGTGGCACTCGTGTAGACGAGCACACATTTTCCTTCCATTATGAGTGCCTATGAGCTCCAATGGCTGAGGTCCAACTTTAATTTCACTCACTTTGACACCTGTAGTATAAAATGTAGACCAGTTAACACAAAAAGAAACAACACTGTTACAGACACCGATTCATGTTGAGTGACTGAGAAATGTTCCTTGCAGCTGAACTTTCCAATTTGTACACTCTCCCAAAGGGAAGGAGGAAAAACTGATGGAGACCTGAAGAAATGAGCACTAAAAATTGGATTTCAACCAGGTTCCAAATCGGCATTAAAAACTTCAGTGGATAACAAGTGGAAACTTCAGATTGTTGTGTTTTCTTCAGAATTAGAATTTAACCAGCCAATGAAATTGGCCATGAGAAAAGCATAAAAATGAGGAAGCGCACTAGTTGGGGCTTTCCTACACAATGCCAACATTTTATCATAATGCACCATGCCTGAAGAGCACATAATGCACGATGGAGTTCATTTTATCCAAGACTCAGCTTACTGCATGTATAAGGTATAATTCACCCAAACATGTCAATTCTGTCATCATGTATTCACCCTCATGTCGTTAATGTCATAAAGGCATCCTAAAAATAATATATCGAGCAGTCTAATCCAAATACAAGTCTTCTAAAGAGATATGGCGGTTTTATATGACCACAGATTTACAACACGCATACTATAGTAAACAGACGTTCACATGCATGCATGCCGTGCGAGAACAACATGAGAGTGAGTAAATTGAGATAGATTTTAGATTTAATTAGATTTTGCTGGATCTTCACGGCTTGTCTGTATGAGATCCAGCAAAAAACTGAAAGCATGAGAACTGAGAAAGAAAAAAAAAAAATATATATATATAGCTGAATATAATGTTTAACAATGAAGCGGGGGAAACTTTGAGGGTCTTTGCTTTTTTGAAGTATGTGATTTTACAAGTAATGTAGTCCGTGACAGAGCAAGAATGAGTGTCTAACATCATTCTGTATTTTCAGCTTCAGAATCATTGAAGATTGATTTTTATTCAGGTGTGACCATTGGCCTGTGTGTTGGGGACCAGGATCAAGTCTACTCAAGTCCACCACACCAAGTTCATTCCAACTTGAGCCTTTTAAATCAACAGCACATTTTGGTTAACTTAATCATATGTCTTAGAACTAATAATAATAATATTTTTTTCTCAAAATATCACGATAATGTCGTATCATGAGTTTAGTATCGTGGCTTATCAAAACTTGACACAAGTATCGCTACACCCCTAAAAAACATGTCTTATATATGAATGGGATTCATTTTAAAGGGGTCATGAACTGCCTTATTTTGTACTCTTCTGACTGTTCTCTGCTGTGTTTCGGGTTTAAAACACATAAATATACAGTACATCTCAAACGATCCATAATAACAGACAAACCAATAGTAACCACGTAATAAACGGTTACCAACACTTGTGTGGTGCAACATTACGGTTGGATCCAATATAGTCGCACAGCATCGTCTTTTAGTTTCAATCTTTCTGAAGATCCTGCATCGAATTGTGCTTTGTTTGTAAATGAAACTAACTATTAAAAAAAAAAAAAATGAAACTCGTACAATTTAAATTTGTACAATTGTCCAGAAAATTGTTTATAAAAAATTTAAAAAAAACTGAATTTGGCATAAAAAAAATATTGCTAATTCAATTTCTCTCTACAGTGTTCCCATTTCTGAATTTAGGGTGAAATGCTTTCATAAGTCAGCCGTTAGCGCTTACCTCCATCATCCTTTTGACCGTACTCTCTGGGTCCTGAAAAACAAGACACGAAAGGGAAACACAACCTTGAGAACTTGAGAAATAACAATATGAAGTCATGAACCTTTATTTCACTACAAAGTCTATGAATAAAAAAAAATAAAAAATCATGAATAAAACCAAACTGCTCTGCTATGTAGATTTGACCTTTACAAGTGACAGTTTAATCTATGCACCAGTGTGTCCAAAACTGCTGCGCCATTTCCAACACCTTTGTACACCACAAGAAATTTTCTGTGAGACTAGCTAAATTAAATGAGAAGTATTCATTTAAATCACGTCTCTTCTTCACCATATGCACAGTTGGCATCCAGAACACTGGCATTTAATTCTATTTACTCATGCAAGAAGACCATTTTATAGAGTAAAAACTGGGTAGTTGTTAGACTTTCTCTCAACAAGAGCATTACCAGAGACGACAGCAATAAAGACAATAAGGTGATGTTCCCTTGGGTTGAAATAAAATGGTGGCTCAAGAGCTCATTTGTCAGCTAATCTTTCTGTATCTTTTTTATATCCTTTCCCCCACCGAGACAGATGCTCATCACTTACCACCGTAATTTTTGTAGCCACCACGGTCACCACCACTGCAGAGGAAAAATTGAAGATATGATTGCTTTCCATTGTTGAAACCTGGGAGCTCAAGGCTCCCGCTTTACCAGTATTCCTTTCAGGGTCTACTATTGAGGAAACGGCTCCCATTGACAGATGGGTTAAATATGATGGGCCAAATGTACATGAAACATTGCAAATTGAAACCAAAGGTGGCGAGCCTCTTTCCAAATTAGAACGGCTTTTTTTGGTTGAACGTCAAGATTTGATGCGCTCTGAATTGAGACTAAAACCAGAGCAGAGCACGGAGGACAACCTCCCTGCTCCCTCTTTAGTTCTTCAAGAATTTACTCTAGATTTGAGCGTCTAACTGTTGTGGCACTCGTGTAGACGAGCACACATTTTCCTTCCATTATGAGTGCCTATGAGCTCCAATGGCTGAGGTCCAACTTTAATTTCACTCACTTTGACACCTGTAGTATAAAATGTAGACCAGTTAACACAAAAAGAAACAACACTGTTACAGACACCGATTCATGTTGAGTGACTGAGAAATGTTCCTTGCAGCTGAACTTTCCAATTTGTACACTCTCCCAAAGGGAAGGAGGAAAAACTGATGGAGACCTGAAGAAATGAGCACTAAAAATTGGATTTCAACCAGGTTCCAAATCGGCATTAAAAACTTCAGTGGATAACAAGTGGAAACTTCAGATTGTTGTGTTTTCTTCAGAATTAGAATTTAACCAGCCAATGAAATTGGCCATGAGAAAAGCATAAAAATGAGGAAGCGCACTAGTTGGGGCTTTCCTACACAATGCCAACATTTTATCATAATGCACCATGCCTGAAGAGCACATAATGCACGATGGAGTTCATTTTATCCAAGACTCAGCTTACTGCATGTATAAGGTATAATTCACCCAAACATGTCAATTCTGTCATCATGTATTCACCCTCATGTCGTTAATGTCATAAAGGCATCCTAAAAATAATATATCGAGCAGTCTAATCCAAATACAAGTCTTCTAAAGAGATATGGCGGTTTTATATGACCACAGATTTACAACACGCATACTATAGTAAACAGACGTTCACATGCATGCATGCCGTGCGAGAACAACATGAGAGTGAGTAAATTGAGATAGATTTTAGATTTAATTAGATTTTGCTGGATCTTCACGGCTTGTCTGTATGAGATCCAGCAAAAAACTGAAAGCATGAGAACTGAGAAAGAAAAAAAAAAAATATATATATATAGCTGAATATAATGTTTAACAATGAAGCGGGGGAAACTTTGAGGGTCTTTGCTTTTTTGAAGTATGTGATTTTACAAGTAATGTAGTCCGTGACAGAGCAAGAATGAGTGTCTAACATCATTCTGTATTTTCAGCTTCAGAATCATTGAAGATTGATTTTTATTCAGGTGTGACCATTGGCCTGTGTGTTGGGGACCAGGATCAAGTCTACTCAAGTCCACCACACCAAGTTCATTCCAACTTGAGCCTTTTAAATCAACAGCACATTTTGGTTAACTTAATCATATGTCTTAGAACTAATAATAATAATATTTTTTTCTCAAAATATCACGATAATGTCGTATCATGAGTTTAGTATCGTGGCTTATCAAAACTTGACACAAGTATCGCTACACCCCTAAAAAACATGTCTTATATATGAATGGGATTCATTTTAAAGGGGTCATGAACTGCCTTATTTTGTACTCTTCTGACTGTTCTCTGCTGTGTTTCGGGTTTAAAACACATAAATATACAGTACATCTCAAACGATCCATAATAACAGACAAACCAATAGTAACCACGTAATAAACGGTTACCAACACTTGTGTGGTGCAACATTACGGTTGGATCCAATATAGTCGCACAGCATCGTCTTTTAGTTTCAATCTTTCTGAAGATCCTGCATCGAATTGTGCTTTGTTTGTAAATGAAACTAACTATTAAAAAAAAAAAAAAAAAGAAGTGAATCCACTGATCACTCTTTCCTAATGTTGGGGTTTCCACAGCGTCTTGTCTTTGGAGCATCTTTATTGTTTGGTTTCGGTGTAGACCTGCGTTTGCCTCTCTCATTATTTACACTACATGTGTGAATCGGTTGGAGGAGCTAAACAGGCAGTGCTGTATTAGCAGGCGTCGATCTTCTGCAGAAGCGGACATTTCACAACCTGTCGTTTAGCAGATTGGCTTCAATATAAGTCATTTTTATACTAACAAGAAAGTTTTGAGTTCTGAAACTTACAGGATGTTTTTATAGTACACTGACCTCTTGCGTTAAAAGGGCATTTTAATTTCTCAGTTCATGACCCCTTTAATGCAGAAAAATGTGGACTACAGATGGAGAGAAACCTTGCTACTGTAGCCTCAACGCTTTTAAAATGTATAAGCATCATACAAGAAGCTATCATAAAGTTACCAACATGCCATTGGGTGGAGTGTCACTTCACAGAAACAGATGGTGTACGACCTCTTCAAATAATAAAAGCACAGACAAGCCTCCAAACTTACAAGTATGAGACCAAATTGGTTATCCAGAACCAAAAAAAAGCAAATCCTATAAAAAGGCCTTTCCACACGGAGCGCGAAAAAGCGAAATGAATATCGGACGCGATGACGTGCTGGAATAAAGCAATTGATTTCTATGGATGCTTCCACATAGACTGCGAACATACGCGCACCAAAAATGCGAATGTTTTTTTTTCGAACCAGTCCAATGTATCTTTTCAGTTTTTTTTTTAGCTAGGATCATGTGACCGGAGCAGCTGCTGTTGCACAAAAAGGCAAGAGTGGTGCCGCCGTTTCAAAAACCAGTGTAAACAAACACAGAAGAAGAGTATCCCGGAGAAGAGAAGAGTGTGGAAGCTGAGTTCTTGTTATCGTTGGTATTTGAGAACAGATTTATTCTCACATGTTCTTTATACAGAATAACATTCCTATTAATTGTCCACTGAATTATGTGATCTGTAGAGCACCGGCCGTTTTCTTCCACGTGCGCGAATGTTATGAGTCAGAGTGCATTCATTCTTTTTATACACATGAAATAAGCAAACAGACATATGACGACATATTTTCTGTATGTGTTTTGTATGCAGCTCATGGTAATTTTATAGCAATAAAGGATGTTTATGACAAATATTAGCAGTGTAGCATTATTAAACATACAAAGTGCATGTGTCTGCTTATTAATTAAAATCAACTATAGATCACAATCGGAAGTTATTACAAGCACTCGATGATGGTTTACATACATTTTCAAGTGTAGCTTGATGCTAATTGCACTTAATTATATTTTAGGATGTAGCCTATTCTTGTAAGCATTATAGATAGTTTGTTTCTGGTGTAGAACCTTGTTTATCTTAATTTAATGCCGTGTATTGAGCAGCGGATGTTAAATCCATTTACGAGATACATATGAGGAAAAAAGCATTGTTGGTCGGCACCACCTAGCGTGCAGGCGTGAATCAGCAGAAGGCGAACAATCGTTTCGAGTTCGGTGTGAAAGCACCGTTCGTCGGCGATTCACCCCGCTTTTTCGCATCGCGCTCAGTGTGGAAAGTCCTTAAGTCAACAGTTTTCAGGCCTATGTGCATTATTGTTTTTTTTAACAGTGTGCTGTAATACCTTCTGGGGTGGGCAGACTTACCCCATACCGGAGGGTGGGCCGCCCCGGCCACCTCGGTCATAGCCTCCGCTGTCATAACCCCCACGACCTCTGCCCCTGTAACCCTCCGACCTGTCCGAGCCACTGTCATCACCATGCCTCCGGGTATCACCTGAACAGAGGGGGAGGGACTCGTTTTGAGATTCATTTGCCAAACGTTAAGACAAAATCAAAGAGAAAAAAAAAAATTAGGATCAAAGTCTATGCAAGATATGCAGCAGTAAATTAAAGAATTACCATCACCGCGTCGCACATATCCACCTTGAGACCCCCCGTATGAGCCACCGGACTGGCCTGACGCTGCCCCACCAGCACCTCCTCCTGACGGCTGTCCGTAAGATCGCTGCTGCCCATACGACTTATCACCATAACTGCAGTGAGACAGAATGGAGGTGAAGAGGTTTAATTAGGGGTGGGTGCATCATCTTTGTTGACTGTTTGCTGGTCCTGCTGACAGCAGCCGAAACGCCTTGTGGTGATAGCGACTTCAGAGTCCCACACCATGCAAGGGACAACACGGTCTACATATTCAGTGTTTCCCCTGCCATTATTTTAGGGGGGAGGCCCGCCCCCCCTTGAAGGTCAAGTTAATTTTATTTAATTGTATTTTCTCTATAGCGCCAGATCACAACAGAAGTCATTTAAAGTTACCTTTCTTATAGAACATGTCTATAGCTCAGTGTGGAAAGTCCTTAAGTCAACAGTTTTCAGGCCTATGTGCATTATTGTTTTTTTTAACAGTGTGCTGTAATACCTTCTGGGGTGGGCAGACTTACCCCATACCGGAGGGTGGGCCGCCCCGGCCACCTCGGTCATAGCCTCCGCTGTCATAACCCCCACGACCTCTGCCCCTGTAACCCTCCGACCTGTCCGAGCCACTGTCATCACCATGCCTCCGGGTATCACCTGAACAGAGGGGGAGGGACTCGTTTTGAGATTCATTTGCCAAACGTTAAGACAAAATCAAAGAGAAAATTTTTTTTGGATTAAAGTCTATGCAAGATATGCAGCAGTAAATTAAAGAATTACCATCACCGCGTCGCACATATCCACCTTGAGACCCCCCGTATGAGCCACCGGACTGGCCTGACGCTGCCCCACCAGCACCTCCTCCTGACGGCTGTCCGTAAGATCGCTGCTGCCCATACGACTTATCACCATAACTGCAGTGAGACAGAATGGAGGTGAAGAGGTTTAATTAGGGGTGGGTGCATCATCTTTGTTGACTGTTTGCTGGTCCTGCTGACAGCAGCCGAAACGCCTTGTGGTGATAGCGACTTCAGAGTCCCACACCATGCAAGGGACAACACGGTCTACATATTCAGTGTTTCCCCTGCCATTATTTTAGGGGGGAGGCCCGCCCCCCCTTGAAGGTCAAGTTAATTTTATTTAATTGTATTTTCTCTATAGCGCCAGATCACAACAGAAGTCATTTAAAGTTACCTTTCTTATAGAACATGTCTATAACCTTGTTCTTTCACTAAGCAAACTAAATAGCCTTATGTTATCTATCTTATTTACACGACGGCATGTCATTTCAGTCTCTATGTTACATGGTCGCGCTCTCTGCATCACGCACAGCGGAGTTCCACACACACACACACACACACACACTCTCTCTCTCACACACGTGAGCACTCCCACTAGTATTTGTAAATATTAAGCCGCAAAACCAGAAGGATCAAATGTGTGATGGTTCTCATTTTTAAAGTTAAAGCAGCAGTATGTAACTTTCTGCGTTCTAAATTTGCTAAATGTATATAATGAGCGATTACATCATGAATTCATCTTCCAAACCGTGTTTTTGTCTGGTTCCGAATCACTACGGTACTCTTATAATAAGTACTTATATTTGGACTATTGCAGCCTGGTCACCGCTGCGGAGTAACACACACCTGCGTGAATCAGCAGAGACATACACTTAGAGAAGTAGCTCCGGTTGGAACGTTCTTCCGCGGGATGTGTGCAGTTCTGTTTTTTAAAGGGGTCATATGATGTGATTGTAATTGTTCCTTTCTCTTTGAAGTGTTACAAGCTCTTGGTGCATAAAGAAGATCTGTAAAGTTGCAAAGACTAAAGTCTCAAATCCAAAGAGATATTCTTTATAAAAGTTAAGAGTTAACCACACCTACCTAAAACGGCTCATTCTAACACGCCCCCACATATCTACATCACTATGTGGGAAGATTTGCATAACGCCACCCAAATGCTCACGCAAAGAAAGAAGGCGTAACTTTTATTCTCGCTGTAGTATTGTTGCCGCCGCCATGTCGTGAAGACGCTGTGTGTTTCGTTGTGA